TCTAGTAAGAAAAGGCAAGCTAAAACCTGTCAATAGGCTGGACCACATTTTTGTCCAGCCTTGGGCTGAACTCAGAATACCACAGTAACTTTCCCCGCAGGAGATGGTGTCTCAGTCAAATTCTAGAGATGTGTTTCTCTGGGAATTCAGCCATGGAACTCCTGTCCTGCATTAGCTGTAAACATGAGACAAAAGGATATAACTGAAATCCAAGAAGCCTGGTCTATGGACACGCCAGATTAGGAAAGCATCAGGGTACTGTGATCATTGGCAATCTCAGTGTCAAGTGCTAAGAACATGTATTTAAGCAGATCCACGTTCTGAGGATACTCTCATTTATTTTTCTATTGACCAAGACACAGTTTGTAAGATTCATGATCAAAACTTCAGCTCCCTTTCCCATCTTCTCTCTGGAGAGCTGTATGCTCCTCACACAGACAACCAGCTGGCATGACGAGTAGAGACCATGATATTTGCTTTTCCGAGGAACATATAAGTACAGGACAAATCAGGATAAGATGTGTCTGTGGTTTTATCCTCCAAGAAAGAAACAAATGTCCCAGCAACAGACTCACAGGAACCCAGTATTACTCAGAGCATTTTCTCTTTTTACCTCTAAACATACATGATCATGCACAACCAAACTGTAGTCACAACACAAATAGGGATGGTCCCCCACAAGGAGATGGATGGAGGGGCAGAGGGACAGATGTGGAAACATTACCCTCAGTACCTTTTTACACAGCTCAGCCAGGTCCAAAGTGCCAGTGATGGCTATACAGCACAGGAAAAGGCAAATGGAACTTCTGTCCAAGAAGTACACAAGTTCTTTCCCTTTCCTAGCAGAGTGATTTTAGAAACTTGCTCCATCCATATCTGGAGACATCTGAAGTCGTTATTTTCTGTGTCATTGTGTGAAAGTTTTTAGGTTGGTCTGGAGAATACTTCCATCCCTTCTTTCTGATCATTTGTTCTCTTCTCTTACCTTCCCTAGTTTTAGTTCCATTCTTACAATTCATCACTATATCTCCAGCTTTTCTTTCAGTTTTGTGATTATAAGTCTAACATCAGGGTTTTTCATCACAGAGTCAAAGACTCAATTTCATTCATTCTAGTTACTTTCTCTTTCTTGAAATAGCAAAGTTAGCTATTAAAGTATTTTGGTGGATATTCAAGCAAACTCAAAACTCAGCTGAAGCTTAGGTATTTCTGTGGACCACAGCAGAGCATGGTGAGGAAGGGAATGGAGAGAGCATCTAATTCATCTTTCTAACCCTCAGATTTCTGTCAGTGTCTGGCAGTTAGATGGAAAGCTAAATATGCTGCACACTTTCAATGTGTTGTCGTGGTCACCTGCAAAGCAACAACTGGTTGTGTTGGGATCAAGTCACAGGAGCAGGAATGGTCTGTCCCAGCCAACACTCAAAGGAAAACCAGAGCACAGGAGCAGCTGAGCTGACGTACTTCATGTTCACTTCTGCCTGACTCCAAAAGGACACTCAGCTGTTCAGCCAAGGCTGCCTGCAGCAGTAAAAGGGTTCTAACCCCTGTGGTCTTGTACAGGATAAACTTTGCCCACTCTCTGCTTTATTGAAACAGCTATTCCTCTCCCAAATGAGTGCAAGCTGCTTGGGCTCTGACATTTCTCTCACCCTTCCTGCAAGACACAGAGCTCAGGAGCCCACTTCTGCTTCTGTTCAGGCAGTGCAGATTACTCATGTCTCTGCATGTTGTCTGACTTAACCCTTTTCAGCTCCTGTATCCCCATCAAATGCAGAACTTTTGTTCTGTTTTTCTGTTGTGTATGACAGTGCTGTTGGGAGCTAGCATGTCCTGATGCACTTGACATCTAAAGGACAGAACCGCAAATTTTCATAGGAGAAAAAAACCACAATAGCGAAAAGAAGTATTTCAGTCACATCTCATGTACAAGGGCTGCCTTACAATGAGCACCTGGCACCAGAAGCCCCCACCCCATCCTCTGCTGGGAGGCACGGTGGCAATGCAGGAACAGGGGAAATCTCACCAGGACAGATATTTATGCGAGTGACCTGTTCAGCCAGTGAAACCATTTTGAACAACAAGACAGCTTTTTTCAGTCTGAAGAAATCGGTACGTTCACCCCAGCCATTATTTATTTTATAAGTGTCCTGCATGTAATGAAAGGAACAATCTTTCTTACCATCTGCCTTGCTGAAAGGCAGATTTTGTGTGTTGAACAGTTTCAGAGAACTAATGGCAAAGTGCACATTACTAGCCCAGCAGTGAAAGCATTTGTAAACATCATCATCATCAAAGAGGCCTGGATCTGCAAAGGCTGTTTTTTGCCTTGTGAGTTTATGTCTGTAAATGACTAATTGGTAAAGTTTTATCTGCAGAAGGTGGTTGGTGGTGGAAGATATTTACAAGAAAGAAAAGCAGGAAATAATTCATCTTGAGAAGCTGAATCTAATCTGGGATGTTCATGAATTAAAATGAGCTTTAAAAATGGATCTATTTTCTTTTTAAAAATATATATAAAAATACAATATTACTTTTCATTAAATAAGAAATGAGAATGGACAGCCTGAGGGTGTAAAAAACTGGAAAACAGGTGAGAGTGAGACCATATGTCTCTGTCATTTAGATCATGCAGGAGACACCACACAGGAGTGTTTTAGGGATGGAGGAGCTGACCACTTGCACCCACTTGCTGTGCTTACCACTAATTTATTAAAGCCAGAGAAGATACCATATTTTGAAAGAAACAACAGCTTCACTGTGGAAATAACCACTTAGATTTTGTTGCATTATTTAGTACAACCTCCAAATAGTCTTCTTCTTTGAAACAAAACCAAAAAGGAAGAAAAAGGTATAGCAGGCTGGAGAGCAGTATTTTCCTCTAGTTGTTAAAGTCATTTCACATGAGCTTGGTGTTCAGCTTCCACTGCAGGAAATATTGCTCTACCTGTCTAAAATAGCTCTTATCAGCAAAATAATGCTCACTATCTCCACTGAAATATCAAGAGGTGACTCCTTAAAACAGTTAATATGACCTCTAAAAAGTTCCCAAAATAAAGGAACAACAAGGATGCTGGAATCCCCATTAACTAAAGGGCCTCCTAGGCTTTCATTGGGTTATGGATGTGTTTAACTAATAGAAAACATTGCCCAGTCTGATTTCTGTCCTAGAAGCAAAATAGGGATAATTTAGTATCAGGAGTGATTAACATCATTTACTTACCCATTTTGTTATAGCTGTTACTGAATTTAAAATGCTACTCACAAATTAAATATTTTACAACCATTTTGCTCCTAATTAGTTGCAGATCACAGATTTCCTTTAACCATAATGGCTGTTTAGGTGGTGGGGTTTGCAATGCACATTGTTTTTTTACAATCGCTTCTGACATTTTGAGAATTTGTTTAATTTTGATTAATTTCAGTTAAATGAGATGAGACTGTACAATCTCTTTGGAATGGTCTGTTGTTTCAAAGTGTGGTTTAAGTGCACAACATCCTTTAGCTATCAATTTGCACACTTTGCCATATACATGTTGGACTTTGAGAGTCTGAATTAATGTAGCTTAAAGAGATGTTATCTTGATTGTTATTTGGATCAGGATAGTTTAACATACCCTTAATAAAAACAAATATCCTGTCACATAATGACCCTAAACTTTTTAGGGATTTCTTTTGATGATATCTTTTCATACAAGATTTAATTTGAATGAGAAATAGTGAAGTAGAAAGTGCACATCCTCTATATGAGCAGCAGAGAAAAGCTGGTTACTTTTTTCCAGCCACTACTGAATAGCAATTTTAGGATGCCAGGGGCTTCTGAAAGTTGTGCTGAAGCAAAGGTAGGTCTGCCAAGAGACAGGTAAAAGTAGTAAATGAACTTGATACTTTGAGTCTTCCCCTGTTAGAACAAAGTTTATGTGTGTACTTGGAACAAACCTTAATAGTTTGTTTTAAATATTATCAAGGTGTTTTTACTGTGTGGTGGTTCTCTTGTTTTGTTTTTGTCTTATTTTGTTTTGGCTTAAATCACAGTTGTTCTACACCTTTATTCTCTTTAAATTTTACATGGCAAAGAGAAAAACTGTCTGAGCTGGAACATAATTACTGAAGTTTCCACTGTCAGGTCTTAACAGAGAAAATTGTCTTTTAAATTCTGGACTTTTAAAAGGATTTTGGTGGTGTTCACAGCACCCCAGGACACATTCTAAGATTAGATAAAAAAATGTGATATCTCTGGTTTCTGCCACAAAGGCACCTCTTCATTGGTGATATTAAATCAAGTTTTTGGAAGAATTGCTGAACTGATTCTGCCCTGAGAATCTCTAGTTCCCTGTTAATATTTTCCACATAAAAATCAAAGCTCCCTTGAAGGTAGTGCTAATTCCTCCCAGTTTTAATCTGCCTGGTGGAATTGCCCAGTCATGAAATCCTTCAAACCTCCTCTGACCATTTGAGTAGCTGCTGTCCCTTCCTCCCTTTCCTACAGCAGCTCTGCCATGTGACAACCTTTGCCCACCTCAAATCTGTGTGTGATGTGCTACAGCAACCACGTTTGCCCCTTCCTTCCCAAATTCAAACATTTGCTCCCTCATCATCCAAATATTGATTTAAACATTCTTTGATGTCATTTGGGGAAAAGCATTTGAATGTTTTAAATGTGGATTCTACAAGGAATACTTAGAGGTTTGAGACAAACAGGGACCCTTTGCACTCTGTTAGCTAATGTCTTATTCCCTGCAGCATTTGCTAAAATCATTTAGTCACAAAGATAACAGTGTGGATAAGGACTATTTTTAAATGTTTTCAAAAGACACTGCTATGTGTTTGATCTTAACAAATTATTTCTACAAATTCTGAATTCAATCTCTTTGATAGAAAAAGCTCCTATTCTGTAAGAGAGTGTTTCTAGAGTACTGTATGTATCTGAATTTGTCCTGGGTTTGGTCACAGCTCTTGACCAGTTTAAACTCTAATTGAAAAATTATTTCTTCTTGCAGGTTGTTATTTTGCAGGTACAGATTTCAATTAGCACGAAGAAGCTCTCATTCTCACATAAATGTTCCCAGCTCCAGATTGGTATATTTAACCAGGACTTTCCAGCTCCTAGGTGTATAAACACCAAAATTTCATTGCTATTTTTCCCCCATTGACATGAAAGGCAAACATAAACATGCTCAAGAGCTAGCCACGTTGACTGAAATATTTCTAAAGGGTCTTTTACACCTAAAGCACCCTCCACTTTTGTGTGGTTAAATGCACAATGTGTGAGAGACATGAAGCAAAGAAATTTTGTAATTACAAAGATAATTTCTCAGGGCTTGTTAATTAATTTATTTTAATTTTTCCTCTTATGCCAATAAAGTCTTGCTTAACTAATTCAGCATCTTTCATTACAAGTGGTGAGGAATACTAAATTATAACAAAAGGTAGGTAGGTGCTCTTCTTGGTTATCTAGAAGTCCCTGGAAACTGGGTGTGAACTTATAAATGATATTTTAAATATAATTGAACCATTAATCCTTGATGTACTTGTATAACTGCCACACAACTTGAGAAAAAATAATTTAGCAAAATGCCAATAATTATTGTTTTGGATTTGTGAGAAGAGCAAACCACACAAGTTGTAAGGGAAGGGGAAATTAATCTTGAAACAAAGTTTTTAACAAACATTGTTTAAATTTAAGCTTCACTGGTGCTAGTGAGGAATACAAAGATTAAATTTAACTTTGGAAGCATTCACTAAATCTGCAAGCTTAAAACAAAGTTATATTGGTTAACAGCTAAAAGCAATGGAAACGAGTTTTCAATTCAGTTCTAGAGAGCAATTCAGTAGCAAGCCAAGCAAAGCTGTGAACATTTTTATCTGCAGTTTTCTACTTCGTTTTGAAAGGACAGTTTATGAGATAGTCCAACTAAGATCACAGCCACATGTTCACCCCTCTAAAACACCCAAATTTAAGCTGAAGCTTCATGAGCCCTTTAAACTACACTGTTTGATAAGCAAACCATAATTTCATAATTCCACTGAAATAGATCAGCTCCTTTTAAATATACCAAGTACATCTGTACAAGTGTTTACTGGTGGGGTTTTAGAGTTAGAAAAGGGGAGACTGATTTCAAAACTTAGCAGAGAAACAAAAAGCTCTGGTAACTCTGTCCAGAGACTGCTCTGACACCTCAGCTAACACAGAAGTATCTTCATGTTTAGCACCTATTTTACAGCTATCAAAAGAAAGAGAAAAGCTTTATAGTTATTTCTTTTCATATTAAATGCTTAACTCAGAAGTGAGATGTGACCCTTAGATAAATCTCCCATAATACCTCACTGATTCCTCCCATTTGGTCAGGACTAACAGAATCATATTAATTGGCAATTCTGCTAGGGGGTGGGAAAGAGGTGGGTTTTTCTTCAGTTACTTTTCTTCAATGTCAGATTAGTGCCCTAAAATGCCTGGGAGATAAATATGGTGCAGTTTTCAAACAAATGAAATTCCAAAATAGTTTGTTAAGGTGAATTCAATGAATAAAAGAAATAACCATCCTTTTTTTTTCATGCTCTCTGAACTGCAAGTCATTTGCTTTATTTTATTTTAGGTTGGTGTTGAGGGTTTTTTAACTATTTGGGGAAATAAAAAAAACCAACTAAGAAACAGATTTGGAAAGAAGGATATAACTGAATCCTATGTTCTGCTTCTGATTAAGTTTTGTGGATTATCTTAATTTAAAAGATAAATTAAATAAAATCATCTGAATGTTCTTCTTGACACTAAAACAAAGAGTACACTCCTGAAACACTGGGAGTTTTGTAGCACTAGTGCTCTCCTAAAACAATGCCTCAAATCCGTCACAGCCCAGCTCCCTCCTTTCCCTGCCTGTCTGAAAGCACATTTTAATTGTTTGGTAAAGCAAAATGACCTTTTAAATTTTGTTCCAAAAAGAGCTTAAAATACAAACCCACAAAATTTTGGAGATGAGCATGTCCTAGGGATTTTAGAAAGGCATTTTATTTTGTAAATATTTAGTTTTAAAATGTACATACAGAAGCTCGTAGAATGTTGAAAGGATGAACTTCCTGAAATTATCTAATAATGAAAAATGTTCTTTCTATTTAAAATCTTGTTTGTTACTAAGAAACATGGGGTTTCCTAAAAAGAAATCATCCTGTAAAATTTCCTACTGCACATTCTGGACAAGATAGAAATAAGTGTTGCACATTAGTATGAATTAATACAAAATGTTAGGGCAGTTTGCTGTAATAAAATCATTAAATAAAATTAATAAGCATTTGAACTAGGAATTAAATAAGAACTTTGAACTAAGATTTTTACAGTAAACTGTATATTAAAACATGCTCTTTAGATCTGATAGTGAGTATTAGATTTAAAAATAATTTTAAATACTCTTCATGGGTTTTTTCCATGTACAGCTCCACTTAAATTATCTCGTTCAAAGTAGTGCACTTTTGAACCACTGAACTCATTCTTAAGTTAGTGTTACACTGATAAACTAATTTCAAACAAATGTTACTCAGTGCCAACACACAGTTTCAACAAGAAGAAGAATTACAACAACAAATACCAAACAAACTATTTGACTGCTTGAGCCCCTGTGAAACCTGAGAAAGGTGGATTTCTCAAACAATTATTATAGGAACTTTGGGTTGTTTGTTCATTTGGAGCTTTTTTTCCTATTTGATGCAGACCTTCTACTGATGAAACACTTTCAAGTTAGGTTTTGGTTTTAAATTCTAGATTAAAATGAAGCTTCAAGGCACAGCTATGAATTTTCTTTTAAATGATGACTCAAAATTACTTGCTTTCTAAGGAGAGAACATAACTATTTGCTTTTATACCCATGCCAAACCTCTGCAGTATTTCTTTGAGCTAACCTTTATCCCCTTTCTGGACTTGTATTGGTCTCTGCTAGAAAGCAAGTCAGCTGTAATTACTTACAGGTGAGTTATTCCATCCTAATGAAATAGCTCTATGAAAACGATGTTATTGAATTGAAATGTAGATGGCAGAAACACATTGATTTATTTTGCATGGATTTTTAAACGCTTAACAATCGTTCCCTCTCCCCTCAGTGCTAAAGAAATTAAGATCCAGCAGAGAGAGAAGTGAAGTTCACTTGTAACTTAGACTGCTATCATTTTCACACAATTTGGGGACAGAATGAAAAATAAACTCAGCTTAATAGTTGCCTAATAAAATGTCTTAATTTTTTATTTCAAAAAGCCAGTGCTGGTCACAGTGAGGCACAGCACGCTTTCACTCTTACCTTCATCCTGACATTAATTGAAAGACGAATTTGTTTACTTTGTTGTGCTGTTTTAAAAAGTGTGGATAACTCCACCCATAACCCTACAACTTCCCACTCACAGTCCTTTTTAACCTTTTAAGCACTGCTTCTGACCCTCCGTCCTCCCTGCCACTGGAGCAGGCATTTTCAAGCCATATCCATTTTTATTGACCAGAACCACACTGAAACCTCCAGCTCCCAACTGCAGCCCCCTCTGAAAGTGTCCCCAACAGCTGTAAAAATAGGGGCTCTTTGCACACCAGCCTGACACTGCCTCTTCCCTGGTTTGGCAAAAGGAATCAACTGTCCCCTGCATGTGTCTGCAGGGAGGGGTGGCTGTTCTGGAGTTCTTTTTCCCCTTTCTCTCTCTCTATATAGGTATATATATGTGTGTGTGTGTGTGTGTGTATATACATATATTAAATTGTTTTTTGTGTGAGGGAGGGACAGGATTTTGTTTTGTTTTTACAGCAGCCATCCAGAGCCCTGGGTATTGATTTTCGGGCACATGAAAGGGATTTTTTACAGGCCTTCCCTGTGGAAGGGAGCAGCAGTAAAAGGTGATACCACCCACTCCGAAGGAATGCTGTGCATGCAATTAGGAGCAAGCTCCCAGCCAGGGGGTTAGAATTCAAAGCAAGGGAAAAGCTCCCCACCTCCCACAAACAACAAATCCATTAAAACTACCAAAACCATCAATACTAATCAATGCATCCAGGGGCCATTAACTATTTCGGTGCTCGGGGTTTTTCCCCCTCGCTCCTTCACACTCCTCCTTCCACGGTTCCGCACTCCCGGGGGCTGCATCTCTGTGCTGAGCCCCCCCGCTTTCGGCTCGCTGGCGGATGGTTTGACCACTTTTCCCCGCTCCCGGAGCCGTCCGGGCACCGCCGGCGCTGCGGCAGCCTCATTAAATACCATTAAGTGCCAGTGACTTCAAAGGGCTGG